TGAGCGCATACAGTGAATATCACTAATACTGGGCTATATACAATTCCTTTAACTAAATCCTGCTCAGCCAAGTGAACAGGTAATACCTGCAGCATGGCAGAACAGTGATCACATCAATACCAAACTGCAGGGACACATAGCAGAAAGCATAGCACCAGAGCAGAGCTGAAGTACACATTGCGCAGAAGCATCTGGATAGAAAAGCAATACTTAAAGCATGCCTGTCCACCGAACAACATCCCAAAGGGTTAAATTCCAAACAACATCAGCAATTTCAATTTGCTGCCAAAACTTCAGAACATATGAACAGGCATTGTATTTTATTAGTATTTTAAGTTACTGTTCATGATGTTCATCAGCCTTTTCTGATACTACCAACCGTATGAAACAGGGCTCTCAGTTCAATACTCCTTTGAAGTTCCTTTTCCAAGAGTACAATATTACAATTCAAGGCTCATCTACTCAGACAAACACCAGAAGAAGACTTATAGTCATTCAAGCAGGAAGTTAGTTAATAAACTACAGGCAAAATCTGGAATTATTTTATTATAATTATAATTAATAATGTATTATGGTGATTATGGTTTGGCTGAGAAAAAACAGGCCAGCCTGAGCTAGTCTGAGATAACTGCCAAATCTTCTGCACATGTGACAGATGGTGGAAGCATTTTAAAGACTCCCTGTGCACAAGAACTCCGTGTAACGAGGGCTCGGATTCAATGCAACAGCAAAATAGCTGAAGAAGGTTGTGAAAAAAGCACACTAAGCAGCATAAGCCACTTTTAAAGCTCTCGGTTTTATCTGAAGAAAAGGTGAAAAGAAAAGAATAGTGCATTCAAGGGATGTGAGGGGAAAGGGGTTGCACAACTTACGTTGACTGTTGACTGACAAAAGTGAAGAAAACTGTGGCTTTTGGTGCAGTACCCTGAATTCAGCAGGTATAGAGACAATGGCTGAACTCAGTGGAGCTATATTCCCTTCTAAAAGGGCTTGTTTAAACTTCCCTAACAGTTTTTATGGACAACGCAGGGTGTTTTGGAAACACTGCAACTTACTTTTCAATAAACCTTATTCTTCCCAGGGACATAATTCATTTTGTGTGCTTATGTCTAATCTCTTTTGGCTCATTTTACTTTGAAAAGGGTTTTGAACTCCAAGAATGTTCCTCAAATACTCCCTCTAGGAATTCCAGAAAGCAAAGGCTAGAGTGTAGAGGAGGAAGACAGAACAATAAACGAAAAGTAATAACATACAACTGAGAACTCTCCCAGCCACATCCCAAGTCACACCCGCTGCAGAGAACTTAATTTCTTACGGTATCTGAAGCAAGTTAAATTGCAATGAATAGGCATTTATAGACCAAAAAAAAGAGTCCAAATTAGAAAAAAAATCAAAAGAAGAATTACACAACCATTGACATCTGATGCCGTCAGTGTCCCCTCAGCCTCTCACAGAACCATTACCATTCTTTCTCTAGAACAAGCAAATATGTTGTATTCTTTCCTACACAAATGTGCCTTCCAGAGCAGTATGCAACCAACACTTAAGTCTTGGCTCAGGTTGCATTCATTAATCTAACTTTTTACAAAGTTGTGAAAGAGCAATTTAGTACTATTATTTGGATGAGTTCTCTCAGGCTAGGTTTCCACATTGAGATCCTTCAACTCTTGTCTTTTTGGCAAGAAGTGGAGATGCAGGTGCTATCTGAAACCAATTTAGAGTGAAATCAAACTGGGGACCTGATTGTCTTTTTATACCAGTTCCGTGCCCTTAATTTTATTTAATTATTCCTGATTTATCAGTGAAATGTGAATCAGTCTGAAAGTATACATCTCCCAGAAATGGCATTACCTTTAGAAATATCATCAGCCCACGTATCTGAAGAATAATGTACTTCCAGCTCACGAAAAAAGGTTTTAAAATATAAGCAGAAGCTGTAATTTAGGTTGTCAGAGAAAACCCTAAGTTCAGTTTTCATGACAAACATGGGATTGCTGTCAGCAAAAATTGCTGGCTCTAGTGATGGACAGAATACTGAAACTTCTCTCCTGGCTGCTAATGTAAATCAGATATTTGCAGCATATCATTTATTTTCTGCTTGCACAGAGATGCCAGCAGAGTCCTTTACAACAGAAAGGCCAGGGCAAATCATGCCAACTATGAAAAGGTTTATCCTTCACATAGCTACAGGAATGACAAGAGAGGAGAATAATCCTCTTTCATGGAAGTTCATCACACCAGTGCCAAGGCATACCTTGAAGGCTTGTAACAAGTCCTATTATTTTTTGTTCAGAGTAGAAAAAATAAGATCTAAAATGCTATGTTAGATAAGATGAAATCTCAGGTACCCATGACGTTGTGAAGGACCAAAACCCATCCTGCCAAATAAAGTGAGTGTCTCAGCAGTCTCTGTATTGCTTTTTCCACCTGATTTCATACCATAAATGTGACATACATTGTGTGTGTTTGACCTAATACAGGTTTTTCGTGACTCATTTTGGCAAGCATGTGTTTTGTTATCATCAGAACTCTTAAAAATATTTAATTTTTTCCACCTCCTAAACACATCTAAACACCTTTTTACTGGTTCAAGGAATAGCACACACTTAAAACACACAAAAAAATCTATGTCAACAAAGCATGATTAAGGTTGTAAAAAATCAGGCATTGAAAGGTCAGAAAATGCCAGGATTGCCTGAACATCCATAATTTAAATCCCTCATTCCTGTGCATGATGCTAAAGTTTTTAATTACATAATAGCATATAGTATGTTCCATGACACCCTGTTTAGAGGGTCCAGAAGAGCACAGGAGTCCAACTTTCATTCTTTGTGTAAGGGAAAGCAGTCACTACAGGGTAAAATCCTACTTCACATCTGTAGGCTTTAAGCTCAAAAATTACTTTGGGGCTTGCTCCTGCAGTTTGCTAATGTCAAGAGTAGTTTGCACAGTGAAGATGGAATATATTGAGATTTTAGTTGCTGAGGTCAAATAAATCTTTCCTGAATACATATGAATTTGATTTTTTACAAAGCCTTGTATCTTGCATAAAATTGGTCAACTTTTCACTCAAGACCCAAAATAATCAACTTCCAAATACAAATTTGAAGTCGCTGATTCACAAACTGGCAAGCGATAGACTCAGAGATGAAAGACTCAGAAACAGAAGAGTAGTTTTTAGGACAACATTTTTAGCCAGTCTGACAAAGTTGCATAAACAAACCAAAACAGATTTATGTACTGGGAAATGCTGGGAAACTTCATTAACTGAGAACTGATGATAGTCTCCCTGTGGTTTCATGTGCAAAACATGTATGTACCTGCATACTCTAAAGAACAAATAAACACATAAATTATTAAATAACACTTCAAAGCAAATTAAACACAAAAGGCTTGAGTGGCATCTAAAGTTTGAGGAATACGACGAAAAATTTAAAAATCCCTTAGTGTGGACCTCTTATTTTCAGGGAAAAGATGTGTGTTTGAAACCCGGGTCTGAATACTGTGTGGTGGGAAAAGCCCTAATAACTTCACTCCCAGGTGAAAACAAGATATGGAGACATCCAAAAATGTGGGTGCTGGTGACATTCTCTGTCTTTAATTACATTACTCCCAGTCTCTAAATTTTCCACCCTCTCTCTCACTTTGAGCTTAAGGTTCTTGTTCTCACATACAGAGCTCCACAAAAGTCCCTCCTGCCCACATCCCATTTCTCATTTCTCCTTCTGTTTCTGCCTGAGTTCTGTCCAAATTATTTTCTTCAACGCCTACTGTACACTTTCTCTGGTCTTTGCATCACGTCAATGCTCGCATTCCAAAGAACTGAGCCATGTTCATTTGAATTGCTATCTAAAATAGGCTTTTTCTGCAAGGTCAAAAAATGTTACTGTGTCAGCTAAAGCAACCTTCTTTTTTAAGTATCTGGTTCTCTAGATGAAAATTAGCTTCTTTATCCTCATGCATTGCATGCACTGTTTGACTAATGCAGACTATCCCTGACTTGTGTCAAAGGCATATTTTTATCAGAAAATTGTGAAAATTAAAAATTATATCTTACTTAGGTTAGTATCATAGAACTCCTTCAACTAATTTTCCAGGTTTGTAAAACCAGAACGACTCTGTGAACCTTTTCTCCTTCCTGATTAAATACATTTTCCTTTAAAGGAAATTTGATTTTAAAAAGATGGGACTGAAATCAACCCCCTAAAACTGAAGACTGCCAAATTTCACAGCTGCTCCTTATCTCTGTGATGGTCTGACCAAAACCTCAGAGGTGACAGGTCTAAGTTCTGCAAAAGCTGGGTTATGAATTTCTATTTCTCAGACATGGATACAAGCCACCAATATGAATCTACTTTATGTTCAATGAAAAGAAACAGAAAACACTTGCTTAATCTGCAGAAGTACTAGTGGGAGCACATTTTTATGCTCACACTCATATATACGTGTACAGGGACAGGATAGTGTTGGGGTTTTTTTTCATACTGCATAAACAATAGGATATAACACCATTTCTCGCTTCCCACTGCTCATGGGAAGCTGCCTTCTTCTTCTGACACCTGCAGAGGACAAAATGAGTGGGGAAGACCAGGGTTCTGGTTCCAGCCATCTCCAAATGCATGTTCTGACCCACTTCACCAGGCACACACAAGCTCTCTGGTGCCTAGAGACCATGTGAATTCTCCCTACGCCTATCAATTGACAGAATAACCTGTAAAAATAATTTCTTGTTTCAGAGATTAAAGATTGCAAGTAAGGTCTGGGCTTCTTAATATTTTCTCTCACACCTTCAATAACAGTCCCCTGCCCATGTGAGAAATTTGCTTTTTCCACACTTCTTGTAGTATTTGGCATACTGTGTTTTCAGAAACCTAGCAGTCTCAGATGCTTGCTCTCGCTTGCTATTCCTTATGAACAAAACAGTGATATATTAGCAGATGTGAAGGATGAACAGTATCTGTAAAGATCAGATAGCTTTTTACTAAGGAAAGCACTGTTACCTGTCTGCATCCACAGTCACATCATGAACCCCTCTCTGAATGACGTCTCGAGAGGCAGCCAGGTCTGGTATTCGGTTCAGACTTCTTGTATATAGGTTGAGTCCTCCATCTGTCATGTACCTGAAAAATAATGTGTGGTCAATCAGTGGGAAAGACAGCCATCTAGCAACCATGTTTCACTCTAAAGTTAGTGGACTGTGGAATTCAAATGTTTAAGGTATGGGCTGTTCTGTTAGATGGCAGACTTACACTAAATATTCTCAGTTTGTGTTCCCAGCACAGGGAGATCAGATATATTTCCATGTTCTAGGATTATTTGCATTTTTCTGTGATGGCTTACAGGCCAACCTGTTTTACCAGGTTGGTAATACATATCTCTCTCTCTAATCCCTCAAGTATCTTCAAAAATGTTACGTACATTTTGCATACTGCAGTTTTGCCAAAGAATAGCACCATATTCAAGAAGCATAACCCCAATCAGAAAAAAAAATAAAAAAATCAGCAGCATCCATCTAAATGGGAACAGAAATTGAGAACCCAAATCTGTAGTCCCTACTGAGATGCAGTTGTTCCAATATGAAAGAGATATCCACCAAAGACCACACAATGACATTTAAGAATCTGTTTCTGTATGTGTCCCTTTTGCTTGATTCCCACCACTTCACATTATAACGAATGACTAATGACTCGAACAGTGAATATAGTGCTGCTTACTCACTAGAGCACTATTAAACGTTTCTGAATTTCAAGTAGCAGTAATAATTTCTGGAATGCCTACCTAAAGTTTAGTTATCTCTATGAGAGGTCTTGCTGCTTATAACTGAGCAGCACCACAAGCATGTCCTACTCTCAAGACTTGTCCATTATTTTCTCAAAGGATCTTTCATCAAACTGTCTTCATTCTTAAGCTCTTGTTTTTGACATTTCCCTTTGGTAGTTTATTGCAACTTTAGTGTAGCAACCTAGTACAGATTTTGCAGAAATTTACTTGTGATGGACCATGCACATATATGGTGTTTAATATAGAAGTATATATACATAGAAAAAAATATCTGTGCCTCAGTGAACCTCCTCAAAGTACATTTACAGGCTTACTGAAATAAGTGTAGTCCTAATGTTAGGATGATGGCTAAAATGTTCTACTGGAGTTCACTCCCAATTCAAATAATCCTTAACACAAATTCTCCTTGAGCCATGAAATGCTGCCACTCAAATCTATCCTTCAGTCAAAGTGTGTGTCCAAGCACACAAACATTTAACAGTTCTACAGATTTCCAGGCACAAGCCAAGGCACACACATCCCAGCGGTGCTCCAGATGTTCTGTTGGCCCTCTCCCTGCAGTTCATTGTGGGAGCTGGTTTAATTCAAATCAACTGTCCCAGGGGCTTATATGGCAGCCTAGGAGCACCAGCCTCCACCTCCGTCATTTAAGGTGAGTGAACTGGTGCAAAATTTAAGAGCAAAGCTGTGGGAGAGTAGCCCGGTATGACAGCTACAGGATATGATACATTCATGAGATGGCATCGTGACCTGGGTGGCAATCTCGATGAAGGCAACCTGAAGTGCATTAAAACACAAAGGGTTGGTTTGCTTATTTTTAACTAAACTCTAAGAAATTTTATGCACTGGTAAGTTTTGGCCTGCAGTTCAGCAAGGGATTTCTGAAACCCTGGTATCTGGAGTCTGCAGAAGGTAACTTCAGATTTGTTTTCAAAGGTAAATTAACAGTCACACTCACACAATAGATTTATCCTTCTATTAAAGACAAAATTTAGGCTTTTTGACAGATTATTTAGCTAGGGGTGAATTCTACAGTAGATTCCAAGGCTTTGGAATTGCATATTAGATTTAGCTGCGGTTTGAATGTAACCCAGTCTATATGATTTTTTTTGTCTATAAGTAAGGCCTGAATTGAGAGACTTAACAAGTGCAACAGGCTTTCCTCACACTAATTTCTAATTTCTGCTGCATTTCTGTCCCCAAGTGTTTAAAGTAATTAAACTGAAAATGGAAGAGGCATAAAGGAGATAAGACACTACATGCCTCAATGAATCCTGAATTTTTAGAGCTTATTAACTTGTTTTTAACATTTACTGCACCTAAAAATGTTAATTGAGCACACAGCAACTTACTGCCTATTGAGTCATCCTTATTACAGATGCAAAGAAAAGTCACACAAGACGACTATATTAATTCTCTAACGCGATAAGCTAATTAATAAAACTCATCAGGCACTGCAAAGGATTCCCCTATCTTTTTTTTTTTTAAATACACCCATGCATCCATCAAAGGCAGCATTTATACTTCCTTTATCATAAAAGGTCTTCAGACATTAAAGTATTACATTTTCTATATGTCTTTTCTCCGTTCTAGCAGACATGAATATGGCATCCTGCTTGACAGCCACTAATGCTGTGCTGTGGACAACCTTGTCAGCAGTGCTCCACTCACAGATCACTGAGACAGTGCACCAGGGAGACACAGGAATATGATTGCTTTATAGTTACGCTTTTTCTAGAGATCTATCTTTGGTTGGTGCTTGAGGTGAGACACTACTCTAGAGAAAACTTTTATCGCAGAGTTACATTTGCCCTTAGGAATGTATCATATCCAATTTCATCATCCACCATTCTCTAATCATAGCTATACTTCAAACTAAAAGATTATTTTGACAGCAAGAGTCCTAAATTTATACAGAGTGAAGTCATGTGGTGTGACATGGCCATGTACTCTATGGGACTTCTGTTCAACCCAATCTTACCTCAGCCACCAAGCAGCCTTGAGATCCCAACTGCAGCACTGAATGGTAATTTAAGCAGGAGTAAAAGAGTAACATGGCTCTTTCTAAGAAACCATACCATAACAGGGGTGAAGTGACTTATGTTCGTAAGATTGATATAAGAATTAAATTGTCAAACAGTAATTCGAAACATAGCGACTGCAGTATCCCAAATTCAATCAATTGATTAACCAAACAAGTATTAAAAATAAAAATAACAGTCATTCTTCCTCCTGGGTATGCTAGAAGTGACTCATCTATTCTTCTATGAAAAGATATTCCTACAGCTCAGACAATATGCACAGCTGAAAAGATTGCAGAAAAGGCCTATTGCACAGACAACACTAGACAATATCTGAAGTGGAAACAGAGAAAGTCTGGCCCGTCAGCAACTGCTTTTCATAAAATTCATCCAACACCATATCTACCATCTCAAATAAGACATAAAAATACTGAAAGAAGACCCGTACCAGGGCAAGCAGTGAAAAATGGTCATTTACCAGATAACTAAAAAACTCCAGTAAGTAATAAGAAGCACCTGTGCTCTTATCAAAGTTCATAGCAAAGTCATACTGATGTCAAAGGAGAAGAACTGAATCTTAAGGCAGGTGAGAACATCACTGGCAGCTCAGGGTCTTATTTTTTGTTGGTTTATATATATATATATATTTATGTAGCAAACATAATGCAACTTCCACTAGTGTGCCAGAATTTGTTAGAAAACCTGCCAATCATGCATTAGTTCAAATGAAGAAAAAGTGCTACTTACCCACTGTTGATGTCATCAGTTCGGAGGCTTTTCCCAAGAATGTCCCCATCGCTCATGTAGCCCCCAACATCCACTTCAGAGGACATGTCCAAATCACCACTTCCCTTCTCACTCATGTCTATCTGTGAGATATTTCCAAGGCGAGAGACAGCTGCTCGGCGAAGTGGGGTGGTGTACATGAATCGGGAAGGGTCTGTGTGTATGAAGCGACTTGTGCTGCTGCGAGGATAACCAGCACCCAAGGATGGGGCATCTCCTGCCTGCAGCCGAGGACTGGCCTGCCCTAACCTCCAAGTCACCGGGGTGGACCGGCTTGTCAAGCTTGGTATGCTTCTCCCATTCACCTCAGTTGTCACAGTGCTGTCAAAAGTTGTCTCCAATGTGCTGCCAAACAAAATGGACAAGTCAGTGAACTGTGCTTTCTCTGTTCCTGAGATACGAGGGAAGGCAAAGCCTGGAAGAATGGATATTTTTTCAAGAAGTTCTGTGTGTGTCTGCATGTGCACACATGTGTTTATGTGTACAATAACCTCTACTTATAAAATAATCTAATATAAATTTTATAGGCTTCTAAGTAGATGTATATAAAAAACAACCATCTTTGTGAATGATTGTACAAGACACTGACAGTACAGTATATTAAAGTCACATTGAAGTTGCTGAGGCAGTTTAGCAAACAGTATGGTTAGTGTCATAGCTCATTTTCTCCTGTAAGTCTCTAATTCATACAGCAACTAGTAATACCCTCCCTACAGCCCAAATTTTTAGCAGTCTGCACAAAACCAGTATACCTGTGGCTTATCTGTGTCCCTCTAAGGCTGGACATAGTTTCTTCCAAATTCTGCCTCAGGTCTGCTATATTCTTTACAGTTCTCATTCTTCTCGTTTCAGGGTCTTCCCCTGAAAGGAAACAGCAAAACCAGCATAAATTTTAGCGTACACTAGAGTATAACATTGAATAAAGTACACACAGCTGAGAATACACACATATGATTGTCAATAGGTCTGTTCCTTTAATCTTTTAAAAAACAAAACCTCATCCTTTCAGTAATGAAACACACATATGCTTATCAATAACATGTGGTATGTAAAAAACCCACTGAAAAGAGTCATGGTGAAGTATGCCTGTTAGGGCCCAAATCTATTAATGAAACTCAGATTTACAGTACTGGGATTTTTACCCACTGTAATCAAGACATGATGCAGCCCCAGATCACTTGATACATTACATAGCCCCTTTTTCCTCCTTGAAATTTTACATTACTTGGTAGGAAATAAAGCCACAGTAAATCTGTGTCTGGAAAGAATTGAGATGACTGTTACAACAACTGTTCAGTATGCACTTAACATCCAAGGTATTTCAAAGTACTCTTTAAGTCAGGCACTTAATAAAGCATCTTTCCTGAACTCTAATGGTTTCCTGAAGGGGGAGATTATTCTTCATATGGGAAAAAAAATACTCTTCTTGGGATAAAAGTCTGAAAACTCTAAGCATATGCGTCATTTATACAATTATGGATTTTAACAGCCTTCAGGGATACATTGTGAAAAGCTACTCTGGGATCTTGAATAGTGAACCCCACAGAATTTCACCTGGGACATGCTGATTAACGTTTGCTTCAAACAATTAAAAAAAACCAAGGGGGGGGGGGAAGTGATATATTATGTGTTACAAAAGGAAAACAATATAAGTCTCAAAGCAACCTCCAAAATCATACATGAGGAAACAAAAATGCCCGTTTTCTAGCATATTTATATATCAAGGTATTTTAGTTCATTTTTCATTTAGAGAATAAGAGAATTTTGAAAGAAAATCTGTGACAAAAATCACTGATTTCTTCAAGGCTTGTGTTCTGCTTCTGGCTGTGTCCTGTATCTGTTGCTTGAAAGAAGGCTGGCAAGAAGAATCACTGTAACAGTTATCTGTACAACACTGAATGCAAAGTGCAAATAATTTCTTTTTTGACTCTATCAATGATAACTTTCATGTCATACCTCACTTCGTTAAGTTGATTTTACTCTTCATTCTGGAGATGTTATAAACAAGAATGATATAGTGCTATCAATAAAATTATCTCTAATATTTAACCCTAAATTTCAGCATTCTCATCCAGAACAAACTTTTAATCTAATTTTGGAATCCTCATGACATCAAGAAACTGTTTCATCTTTAAATACATCTAACAGGAGATAGTGTGGTGAATTTAAACTCAACATGATGCAAAAATCAAGATCAGAAATCCAAGCAGAGGCAAAATACCATATAGCACTACAATATTTCACATTAGTAAAATGTAAAATATACATGCAGATACACATCTTCAAGTTGCTCTATTTCTCATTCTGTTGCCATTCTTCCTCCTCCCAAGTTTATGTGTGAGTTTATACAAGACATAAATTCAACAATGGTGATGTCCCTGAGGAAAAGCATGGTGTGCCATCTAAGTAGAAAAACTGGTAGGAGATGTTTGAGACGCAGGGAAAAGGATTTTTCCCATTTTATCTACTCCTTTGCTGAGTGAATAAAATGAGTAAAAAGGAAGGAAGAGATCTTTATGTAGAGCTTGCAAGAAAAGTTGCACAGGAAATCATATTTCCATACTAGGAAATACTCAACATGGGACAAGAAGCAATGAAAATTATATATTTAACAAAGCATTCTGGAAAAGTAAAGCAAAAATAATGAAAAAGACCTACGGAGAAAGAATTCTAAGTTAAAAAGATCTCATCACAACATCCTTTTGAAGGCATGGGAAAAATGTTGACTTGCAGCAGAACTACAAGTATGGGTTAAAATTGGTTTACAAAAAGCAGTGGGTTAACATATACAGTGACATTTATTTCAAATATAAGGGAGAATCTGAAGAAGCAAACTATATTTAAACAATGGATCACTTAATTTTAAGTTTTGACTAAAGGATGATTACTTTGAGCTCATGGAGAAACTGGATTTCTGTACCCTCTTCTGCAGTCCAGGTCCTATCCCACTCAAACTCTTTGCAAGTAGTTAAGAAAAATCCCAGCTCCTGAAACTAACTAGAAATAAATTGTTCTGTATACATTCTGTATTCCCTTTTTTTCTTACCTGATAGACAAATGATGCATAGTACAAGCCAATGTACTTCGCAGCTGTGGCTCAATGTCAAGCTGGCTTTCATAGCCAAGTTGAGGTTTTCCCATCTACCCTGGCTATGACTACTGTCCTCTTTTCTACAGCCAAACCATCATTCAGGAACTGCTGTTTGCTTGCCTGTTTTCTTGCTCCATTTATCTTTAATCCTTGGGGTGCCACCATGGAACTGACAGTGGGGTCAACTCCCAGACAGGGTGGAGACAAGAAGTGGAGATACAGGCCCAGCACTGCTGCCAAACCCTTCATCTTCTCAAGCCACACCCCAAGAGGGTCACAAAATTTCGCCTCATAAAATGAACTATTTGTGTGCATTTTCACACGTGATACCTTGGAGGAGGCAAATGTTCTCCTGTGTTGCAAGCCAGATGAATTCAATTAAGCACCTTGCTGGTCAGTGTACCCACGGATCCCATGTACTAATTGCAGAGGTTTCTGCACCAACCTGGACTTTCCTGTGAGGCAAAAGGGCTCATGCCAAGGCCAAGCTGGAGACCATAAAGTCCTGCTTGATTGAACCTGCTGCTGAAAGCCCAGCCAGTTACCAGGGAGACTGTCCATGCCTGCCTCCAGGCAGCTGCCAATGGTGTGCTCAATTCCTCACTTTCGCTGCCCTCCTCTTTTCCCCTCCTCCATCAAATGCACTTAAATGCACTTCCAGGAGCACATCATATTCCTGCCACAACACCTAACTGGGGGAGACCCAGGAAATGTTTTTTTTACCTGCTCTGCCTCAAATCAGAGATGAAACAGAAGCTTGTTGGTACAAGACAATTTTCTGTTATGTACAGAATGACAAAGCCCAGGATGCAAGCGGGCAGAATTAAAGGCAAAGCAGTACTTTACCTTTATATTTATTTGAGGAACTGAATGTAATTCATATTTGCAGTGACTTTGCCCTTTCCTTCCTTGTTTATCCTTGTCAGTTGTCCTTTGCTGTATGTTAACACTGCAAACTCTTGCAGCAAAAATGACAGCAACTGTCTTTTTAAATATATATTGTACAGTAAATAGCATAACAAAGCCTTAAGGTATAACTGCAATACAAAAAGAAAGGTACATATATATGGCAAACTGCCAAAATATGTTTCCACAGAGAAGAATATTTCATTTTCAGACAAATTATACCATAAAAGTGGTGCTATTCTATCCTGCAAAGGTGAAAAGTTTGAAGTCTAATCTCTTTTGATCTCTCAGTGACACAAAGGGCAATTTCAAAACCTTTGCACCAGTTTTTTCATACAACTGGAGTTTTGTGATCTTGAAATACTATACAGTACTACACACAAAATCCTCATAGCTGTAACTATTAAAAGTTTTAAAAATAATTGTTCTTTTTTTCTTTCCATCCTTCTCTTAAGGAGAATCAATGGACTCATACTGTACCATAGATGAACAAGTCAGAAAGTATACACAGTTGAACATAGTGATTGAGAAATGTTCTGCACTGAGTGCAAGACCCTCAAACCTTACTTGCATGTGGCGTTACCTGCACTGTCAGGGCAGCACTGTGGCTTCCCATCTACGTCAGGTGTCCTTCTGTACAGAAGACCGTAGGGATGGTGAATATGTGTTTTTTTCCTAAAAGTTAGCTACATCATGCCTGCTAGAAGATATGTTATGGTGCTTATTGCAGCAGGATTGGGATAGTTTGTATGGGTTCAAAGGTAGCCGACTCCCCCAGGCACCTTGGTCTTTATTACTATGGCCCACTGCCATCACAGAATCCATCCATATTTGCATGACCTAACATACCAGAAATGCTCCCTGGCCTGTTATTTCAAGTGATTCTGGTTTGTATATTGAAGAAAAACCATTCTATTTCATACAGGGAGAGTCTGGGGTAAGAAAGACTAAAACCGGGGCACCCTGAAACTTTCTGTCAAAATTCTGTTTCTCTTACAAGAAAGTCAGATGCAAATATTTTACTGACCCCATGAAAAGTAAAATCACTTCTAGCTTCATCATTTATGTTAAACACGAATATTCCAAAAGATTATCCCCAAACTCTTGCCTATAAACAGCGAAGCATTACAGGTTCCCTCAATAAATTTCTAGAGAACATAAGAATTTCTTCCACTGTGTGAGATATGTACAGAGGAAATAAAAATAAACATTTTACAGAAATCACTAAATACCTCGGTTGAACTTCTACATTTACAATTCTAAAGCTCACTCATAATTATACATTTAATAATACTGTTCATAATCATTTCAGTACTTCCGCACATGTAATTACAGCCAAAGCAGATAAATGGGAGAATAATAATTGCATTAAGTGTCTATTTTCATAGAAGGATTTACAATAATAAGTAGCTCCCCTGAGAATTGTCCACTCTTAGTGAACAATTGAATTGAACACTCCTGTGTCCACCCTGAAAGTACCATTTTTACTCTGCAGGTGGGGAAACTGAGGCTCACAAGAGAACAGGGATTTGCTCAGTGACACACAGCTGAAGCAGGGCAGGGGCAGGTGGAGAGCTCAGCTTCCTTTGCTAACAAACCTCTCATCTCTAGGAGAAGCCCCTTTGTAAATACTGGTACAGTCTAACAACACAAAAGTATGCATAAAAAGAGAACCCTTGTTTCTTTGTTACTTTGAGATGACAGCTTTTCATATTACACACATGGCAAACATTTTATCCCGAATGTTTAAACGCAGTCAGGGCTAACACATCCACCAGCAAAGAAGCTCCAGGCTAGACACATGCTTTATAACCTTAGGAAAGGAAGCAGCCACTTCAACCGTTTGACTGGCTGAAGAACAAAG